CATCTCTTGGCTGTTTTTTTCCACGGGATTATCGGCAGGTTGCAGTCCTCCAAAATCCTAGTCCTAATGCTCTCATCGCCGGCCATAATGCAGAAGCGGCATTTCCTCACCATCTGGTTCCCCCTCTTTGACCTTTGTACTCGTCCTGTCATCTTCGCACGCTGGCAGATTGAACAGTATCGGCTCTTTGGAAAATGACAAAGTTGATGAGTTTCACTTTGGCTTCCTCTTCGAGGTGTTCACGAAGTGAGGGTGTCCATGGGTTAGCCTCTTCATCTTCTGCATTTAAAGGGGCATGCAAGGGCTCCGGTTTTGGTTCGTCGCGCGACATGCGTTCATCGCCCAAATGAGGTAGCTTTTCTGGTTTCTCTTTCAACGCTTCGTCACTAACCTTAGGCCTTAGGCAGGTCCAAAGGTGCGTCTCGCACGGGTCTGGGCTCAGGAGCAGGTCCAACAGGACTGTCTCTGGAACCTGAGCTCGGACTTCCAATGGGCTCAGCATCTGAATCAAAAGCAACTGGTCCTGGATTAGCTTCCAGCCGAATCGGCCGGTGCTGCACCCACGAATGATTGGCGCATTCTCTCGAGCTTCCATGTGAATCTTTCCAGACGCTGGGCAAAAACGCTTTAAATCACCGAGTCGATCATAATATAAGGCAATTCGTCTGGAAGCCAAACAAAACCCCTTTTGTGGTTGTCGACCTGGATTCCCAATGACAATGCACGAGGGCATGTTTCGAAAGTAACGTATATAGAAAGTGTTGAGACCGCTGATTTGCCCTTTGAGTTCAATGGCTTTTGTTGTTTTCCTTTCGCCGCCTCCTGTCCTAAAGATCAAGTTCTCTGGCGGATCGATGATGAAGCCATTCCATTCTTCAGGCATTGAATCCTTTGACAACAAATTCCTACCGGCTCCTGAATCCATAGGGCCATAAGGAAATCCATTTGGATTGGGTGCGACGTGAGTGCAGGGACATTCGAACAATCAACCTGAGACGACGGACTACAACAGGAAATGGCAATCATGATCGTAGTCACGGCTTTGGTCAAAGAAGGCATACACAGACATCTCAATTAACTGCGCTGTCCTTCCTCCAGACTTTCTTCGCTTCCTTCAGGGCAGCTTCGGCCCTCGGGATCGATGCAAACGCTGTTGCTGCTGCAACTGAGGCGGCTCTGTCATGACTGGACGAACTTGGATTGGCATTACTCTTCATTCAGGGTTTTGGACCTTCGTACAAGTTCCCTTTGTCTTGGAGGTATTCGCAACCTTGGCCACATGTGCAGGAGTCATATGCGTAGTACATGCGTGGCAGCTTTGGCGGTTTGTCCTCCTTCTTGCCGTTGCCATCCTTTCCTTTCCCTTTTCCCGTCTGGGCTGCCGCAGCATCAACATCTTTGTCATCCTCAGTCTACTTGGTAGTCTTGGGTTTCTCCTCCTCGTCATCCTTTGTTTCTGGGTCTTGCTTTTTGCCTTCCTCTGTCTTTGGTTTCTCTTTTTTCGAACTTTGACTGTCGTTTGAGCTTGCGCTCCACCAACCTTTGAATCCATGCCCTGCAGACGTGAGCGCTGTATCCATCGACGTGGTATTCACATCCATCTGCGATATTTCAATAGCCTCAGGCATCTTTGCGTGCAACGTTGGCTGGTGTGTTTGGAGCTGCCAGAACTTGCCTCCCTGAACTTGTCAGTCACAAGTGCCATCTTTGGATGATTCTTGAGGTTCCCAAATAAAAGAGATGGAAGCGACATTTCCAAACAAATGTCGGGTTTCACTGGGTTCAAGAGCACCAAAACAAAAATCATAACGCTGTCTAAAGTCTTCTAGGGCTTTGATGTCATTTCCTGTCATCTTCAATGACTTAATGACGATGTTGCGATAATGCGGTCCCTCTGTCTCGATCCAGTTGACACTTCTGGAAGATCATCCACAACAGCTTGCGCCCTTTTGGCTGCTGGTCGTTCGCTTGGCACCTCTTGATGGGTTGGGAACTCTAAGGCGAACTTGGTGGATTTTGCCGATTCCAACAACTTGGCGCCCAATTTTCTGTCCAAGATGGGGAAATCCTTCGAGCACTTGAACTCCTTTCCGTCTTCTGAGATGTTGCAACGATTGATCCAACGAAACACCCGCGCTTTCATCATTCTTGACAAATTTGCAACACCCACCAAAAACACAGCGTTTCGGAAACTGCGACAGTTTGCTGCGTCTTGAGGCAAAGCTGGTATCTTGATTTGGTCATCATGCTGTTTGACACGCATGGTCTTCCGAATCACTTGAACTGGAGCTCAAACCATCCTCCTTTAATGGGAATTAGATGGTGTTCCTCCGCCTCCGCCCGGGTTCTTTTTTGGACCTTTCCCTTTCGAGTCACTTGAAGACGAAGATCCACTTCCTGGCGGAGACTCGCAGACTCTTGAGTTGTTTCTTGAACGGTTTGATGATGGTTGATTTCCTACTTGCATCGAACCAGTCATCATTCCTGTCATCAATTGCTGCGCTTGCGCGGTCAACTGCTGGACTTGCGTGTTCTGGTCATGTTGGATTTAAATTGCAAACCTGTCTGATAGTTATTGAGAGCCGCTGCGGACTTCGTAGGAGTCGCCAACGGTATCTCTCCTGCGCGAACGGCTCCTGCGGCAACGAGAGTCAATGCAAGCGAAGGCAGCACGATCAACGGACCTTGCGCTGGATTTCCTTTGGGTGTAATCGTGCCAGGATGGCATGACTTTGGAGTTGCAATATCGTGCACTGCCGGAACCCACACTCATTGACCCGAACTCACAGGGTTTGTGGACGGTGATGGGATGGTGCTTAGAGCTCCAGGTGTTTTGGCCTTGCCAAGAGCCTTTAGCATTTCATCTTGATCCCAAATCACAATTGCCTAGACGTGGATTCCAACGCTTGTTCTCTTTGTTCAAAGCGCTAATCACTTCCATGATTTGGTTGGTGCGATCAACCGCCATAGCTTTGATTTCTTGGCGTGACTGATTTACCAAACGAGTCGCTTGACCTTGGGTCTGGCGAGCCAAATCTTCCGCCACTTCTTGAGTCTACCTAATTCTATCCATGGCCGTGGGTTCAACAGCTTGGATGTGAGATCGAGCTTCGGCCTTGACGGATTGGACCCTTGGATTGGTTGAATCTTGTAACTCTGAATTGATTGGATATATTGAGCCGTCTGACTCCTAGCATAAGCTTCAACATTGAATGGCTTGACCCTGAACATCAGACACGATTTGGCGAGCCTCAGCTACCACCAATGGATTCAAACCCAGCAAGCTGATCGACCTTGCGTCAGTAAAGTGAAATAATTCATGGCTTCCGAAAACGATTTGCCTATCTTCAACCTGGCCGATGGTCGCTTGTTGGTATTCAACACTCGTCCTTGCTCCTTGACCTCTACGCACTGAGATTGGATTCGACATGGATGTGTCAGTCAGGGATGACAAACTCGAGTCTGGGACTGGAGTTGCCACCGCTTCCCCAAACATGACCACTTGATCACTTCCCGGTGAACCATGCATGCGGCAAATGACGACTACTCTGCTGCAAGGAAATCTTCAAGTGCTTCCTTTGTCCAGCCGTCACTCAACCAATGTGCGTAAGGACAAACGGATCCTGTAGGTAACCTTCTCTTCTTTGAAAGTTTGATGTGAATCCCTGTTGCCCTGTCAGTGGCCACAGTGGCTTCCAACTCAGATGGGCTCTCAATTTTGTCGTCGGTCAAAAAAAGAAACAAGTGATCGCCCAACTGTTCGACAAACTTCGAGTCTCCCCTCCCGGCTCGAAGATACAAATGATCCCACTTAAGAATTCGTCGATCCCGGTGCTACGACTCCAAACATCTTTGCACGCCTGATAGCGTCGCGAACTCCCAATGCAAGAAAGAACGAAGATAAACGGAATCCGCCCGTGATCGTACGCAAATTGACTGAACCGACCAAACACCTCAATGTTTTCTTCACTCACAACACCTGTCGACTTGCAAATATCGTGATGATCCCCGTCAAGAACTTGATGCTGATTGATAAAAAGGACCTTAACCAAGTCAAGATTCGAGATGTTTGTCAGGTATGTCAAGTGCACTTCCTGTGTGTTCCTCTGAGTATAGCGACCCTCCGCGGCCTCAAAAAAGGGAAATGTACCGTGTCCAGCAGAGCAATCAAAACCTCAATTGCAGGAGGTGGCAGTGCCGAAGCAGCTAACCTTTGCGCCTCAAATCGGTCTCTGAACGTCTGAAGTACCTCTTCAACGATCGTCACTCGAATCCGTGAGCCCTGCCGCTCTTTCCGGAGCGAGGAAGCCGCAGAAGTTGGTAGAGCTCCTCGTAATCCGGATCCGCAGTGACCTCCTTGAGCTTGAGGTGGAGGTGGGCCAGAAGGATCAGCCGGTCGGCATGAACCTGAGGAAGAAGCGATGGCTGCAAGGACGGCCAACAACCGTGCCACGAGCGGTACAGCTGATAACCAAAAGAGCGGAGCAGCCACGCCTTTTTCACTTCGACTTAAGCCAAATGCAGGTTCAGTCCATAGCGCAATGGATTCCCGAAAAGGCTCCCTCATGGGGTTTCCTGCGTGGTGAAACGGAGCGCAAACGAACATGCGAATCGGCATGTGGTGACACAAAGGGAACCTTGCCTTGCAAAATGCACAAGCTCTTTGTTTGATGCTTGATGCAACCTTCTCCTGGCGAGCCAGATGCTACTACTAGGTTGTTTCTAGTTTGCGTGGCATCATTTGAGTTGCTACTTCCTTTTGTAGCCTTTCATCTGCCTCAAGCTCAAGTAAGGCTAAAGTATTGGGGGGTGTAGTTTTGATTGATTACCATGGTTCAAAACAAACTTGGGAGTCCGGGGGCTCACACGCCACTTGCCCTTGTCTATCCTTGTCTCTACAGATGTTGAAAGAACGTGACAGAACGAAAATGGCCACATGAATTTGCACCAACAGCCGCAGAAGCGTCCCACGCGCTTGTGCCGGCATCTCAGGGAGCCGCCGAACTGATGTTGAAGTGGTACGAAGCTGTCCGGGAACAGGGATGGGTGGCAACTGCAGTGGTGAGCCTGGCTATGTTCGGAAGCCCGTGATGCTCAAGGTCAGCACGAAGAACTTGCTGAACCATGCTAAACCGGCTAAACCTATTGTAGTTATGGAAGGTTCTCATTTCTTGACAGGTCCTTCTTGGTGGCGCGGACGGTGCCCCATGACAACTAGTTACAAGCAGCGTCAATTCGGGTCTTGTGCAAATAACAGACTGCTTGGGCAGTGTAATTAATTGGCACTGCTCCAGCCTGCCATTGTCTCCAACTCTGCGCCAGCAAGCTGAAGGGTTAAAAGGCTGTCCTCAAAGTCCCCACTTGCCCTCACCTGGCCGTGAATTTTCGTGCCCCGTTCACTTAGCATTTGCCGCCTTATTGCAAAACACTGAGGCAGGAAAGGTTGAATGCACACCAGCAAAACTGCATTCTAGAAACGGGTGCCATGAACATAATACATACAAGGGTGGAACAGTTGTCAAACATGCTCAGCAAATGTCTTTGTGGAACCTTACGTCACGCGTGTTCATTCATGTTCAGAAGCGAAACTCGGCGCAGCGTGGTGGACATGGGGTTGTTGCGTCGCGCTGTGCCATCATGTTCCCTCTTGGAACCTGCCCCGGAACTTGCTCCATGCATCTATGCTAAGCTTTGCTGTTCGGAAAGAAGCTGGCAATGTCCAATTCGTATTAGGTAGCAGGTCTAACAAATGTGTTTAATGTGTTTTTTTCTTTTGTTAAACCTATACTAAACCCCAGATGGGACAAGACATTTGGAAGCAGCAGCAGCAGCAGCAGCAGCACGCTGCACCAGCACCCAGGCTCCACTGCCATAGACATCTGGCAACAACACCCTGCGGCGCTTCCGTTTCTTCCATCTGCGCACTCAGCCTCCCAACTTGTTCAACACGGCCAACATCTTTGTTTCTGAGTTTAGAGGTGGACGATTAGCGATCATTTGCTGACTATGACTATGAAGTATACAACAATTTGATTGGAGGGACCCAGCGCATGGAGTTTGTTGTTCTGGCGCGCTTATACTTTCCAGCCCTCAAAACACCAAACTCAAAGCCACAAGCTTGGCGTCAAACATTTAGACCGACACTGTCTTTTGAAAAGGATTGACGTGCGGAGGTGCGTGAGGATGAAACGGCTATATGTGTATAAACATATACAAGACACATTCCCTACCATTAACTAACACTCCTTGAGGTCATCAGAAAAAACATCCCTTGGCAGAATGGCAAGCCCGATGGGGAGAAGGCTCCAACAGCCACAAATCCGGCAAGTCTGCGCCTTTGACACGACTGCGAGGGCCCGGGCTACTTCTGGCAGCGCAGCGCCCAAAAGGCTAGCTCCTGATCATGAGACAGGCTTGTTACTTTCACATAGATCCGAACAGCGGCTTTTGTGGTCTTCGACTCTTCGACTGTCCTTTGGGCGACAGCTCCACGATGTTGATCACCTCAAGTTGGTCGCCTGCCTGGAACCAACACCAAGAACAACGAAGTGGCAGTCTCAACTAGTTCTGTGTGCCATTCATTGGCCTTAGTGGCTTTAGGTTGGGTCAGGTCCGCAATCCGTCGAGTTTTTGTACAAGGGCCGTGGTGAGCCCTCGCAAAAACAAACAGCCAGACTCAGCTAGACACTGGGAGCTTGACATGTACAGCATTGTGTAGTCACAACCCTGCACACTTCGCGACGACATGTATCCTGGGTTCACACTGGCGAGAGCCTCGCCAAACACAACCAATTCTGAGCAAACGGATCTACTCTCTTGAAAAATAACGTAGCCCTGTAAAGTGGATTGTTATTTTTTGATTGTGTTAGTGGAAGGGGCTCTAAGGGTACAAGTGGTAATTGTGAGGAGGATATGTTAGCACTTTTCTGGACGGATATCTGATGGATATCTTTGTTGCATTCTTCTGAAAAATAACGTATATAACCTTGTAATTTGGAATTTGTTGGTGTGGAACATGTTAGTGGAAAGGGCTTCACAGGCTTACAAGTGGTGTGTGTGTGTGTGCGCCGGATATGTTATGATATGTTAGCACATCTTTGCAAGTTCTGGGGGCAAGCGCCCCCGTTTCACCAGGGAGCACAAACTAGCAAAGAAACAAATAACACGGGTGTGCTGAGTGAGCTGCGGGATCCTGCACATGTACACAAGCATGGCTAACATGGGCTGCAGTGACTGTGCATTTGGTGTGGTAGACATGTTACCTCTCTTTTTGCACAGGAAGGGCAGTAACATAGCCCGCTAGCATGGAGTTTGCCAATAGTACAGGAAAGGACTAACATAGCCCTCTAGATTGAGGATGGAGTGTGCCAATGGCACAGGAAAGCGCTAGCCACTAACATAGCTAGCCCTCTAAATTGAGCATGGAGTTGCCCACTGCGCACCCAGAATGGCAACATTCGTAGTCACCCCAGGCCAGGTTAGCAGTGCTTTTGGAAACTACCTCAAAACAAAAGTTGCAGTCAATTCGCCAGGAAACACCGGAGAAGGCTTGGATATGTTAGTTGGGGTCCTCACTGCTGCCAGGGATACGTGATTTTTGGGGAGTGTAAAACGGTGTGAATTCAAGCGTGAAAGAAAACCGGGAGGAGGGAACCACAGGAAGATCGTCAGTGGTTGCGTGAAAAGCTGGTAGCGCAACACAGTACGTGGCGGCATTGCACCGCTTCTTCACTGGTTTCACTTCTTCTTACGCGGCCGCATGATCATCGTCGTCTTATCTGCGTCAGTTTCGTCGTCCATGGACATAGCGACCACAATCCCGAGTTCTCTGCCAACATCAAAAGCACCGCCGGGCCCATTTGCAGCTAAACTCACCCCATTTAGCTAACATCAACTCTGAGACAATTGGTTGCTCGACGTGCGCGCGAAAAAGATTGGATGCTGAGCAAGTTAGGACTGAACTTGACAACGTAGTGTCCACAGTTTTTACCTTCAGCGCTGCGCGTATTCCTTGCCACGAAGGAAATACCCAGATTGAAAAACAGGCCTGTGATCTTTGTATATCCTGGCGGATCTCGCCACACTCCGCCAACGGGAGCGACCTGCCAAATTGGAGCATTCCATACCTTTTTTGGATTTCCGGACTTCTGTGCACATCATTGATGAACTCCTGAACTCTGCGTATGCATTTGCAGTACACAAAATGAATTAAGGGCAGGTCGTCAGGAGCAGCACGTCTGGTGATGTGGCCCAAACTAGTCGCCATTTGCCAATCAACTTCGACATCACATCACACTCACCACCATTCCCGATTGCTCCTGCTGGATTCAACGTTTCTAGTTGAGACATACTGATTTGTTATGATTTGTTTGCCCAGTTCGATTTACAAACGGTCCTTGATTAATGTCTGGCTTCAATGCCTCCAGTTCTTCGATGCACTCCGTGATTGCAGCTTTCTGACCGAATGGCATTGGCGCGAACCCCCGGTTGTACCTACAGTCTGTGTGTCGACCAAATCCACACCAACAAACACTTATCTAATTTCTGATATTGAACGGGCTCCAATGCTGAGAAGATGTCCCGGCAGAAAGCCGCAAGAATTGATCCCTCCTGAGCAGCAAGTAATCACGACAACTATGCAAATTCCAACCACCGATTCACCGATCCCCAACAACGAAATTGGCTTTGAGCCAAATGAAGAGAAGCTTCAGCTCGCATATCCTTTCTTGCGCATTGCGTGGACCTTCCATGAATCACAACAGATTGGAGCTTGTGGTTTTACACGTCCAGGGCTCATACTTTGCAAACTACTCCTGCCTGGAAGGCCTTCCTCATTGACAAAAGCAGCTATACGAGCTGATAGTTGCCCTTGCCGGCTTCCCCCCTTGGAATGTGAACAATCCGCATTCCTCCGGTCACGAACATCTGCAACACATTTGATTGAATTTGCCCCACTGGAGTGTCGTCTTTGATATGGATTCTATGGATGACTCTGCAAGCAGGAATTGTCGTTTTGTACTTGCATATGCTTTCATCATTGCAACTCTTCAAGCAGTCATTGACAGTCATCGTGAAAGGTTCTTCCACACGTGCCAGTGGCATGGGATCCTGGGCTTTGGCTTCGAGAGTCCGCACCAAGACTTTGGAAACCAAAGGCCTGCGCATCCTGCGCGATTCCAAGTAGCTATGGGACCATCCAGTGGTGAAGTGTGACCGCCAGGAAATCTCAACAGCTGCACCTGCGGAAAGCAGTGCTGGGAGGGCGACGTTTTGCGCATACAATGTGAACACCAGAGGTCAAACATTTGACTCAAAGACTTTCGCCGAAACGTGCTGAAAAAAAAGTGTTCAATATGAATACCTTTCTGCCAGGTGCCCAGTTTCCCCAACTTGCGCCATCCAAAGCGTGGAGCGTGCTGGCGTGCTCAATGAACCAGAGTGTGAGTGGTGATCAAAAATGTTACGGACTCTTAGTTCCCCCAACGACAGGATGTTCCTGGCCTCCGACCCTGCTTGCTGGATGCAACTGGTCAGCTTGTTGCTGTCATCAGTGAAGTCATTGGCAAATTGTATGACAAGCCTTGAAGGATCTCCGATTTTGCAAAATGCACACCAGCAGCTCAGCACTCGATGTTGAATGCAAAGTTGAAAAGCGCATACAAACACATTAAGTGAGCCAGCGGCGTTCTGACAGGAAACTTTGCGGAGAGACGGGAGAAAATCTCCTCCAAGCACTCAGTGCACGCACAGGGTGAGCTCAAGGTGTCTCAACCCCTTCTGGAAAGGCGGCGGGCATGGAGTCATGCAGTGAATGTAGTGTCTGGACAAAAGTGTCCTTTCTTGGAAAGGAGGTGTCGGGTGGCGATCTTGCTGCTAGCCCTTGGGCCCTTCACCCCAATAAGCCTACAGGCCTACAATCAAGTTCTACCCAGCTTTCTGCCTAATTATCAGTTTGTGGTTTGGGGGGGATATGTTGTGCAGTTTTTTGGTTGCAATGCCACGCCGAAAGCAACTATATAATCTGAATCTATGGCCTCGCGAGAAATTGAGAATTCCTTCTTGCCAGCGATAACACTTCCAAGCAAAGGGCCAAATTGTGACCTTAGAGTTCAGAAACTTGAACGTGCTTTGAGGCAGGGAGAACGGTAGGAGCATCAGTGAGCACCAAAGTTTTGTGCATAAAGGAATGGTGATGAATGGTTGTACTGAGGCGATATCACAACTGGAGCTGCTTTGGCAAGATCGGCGCCTCCCAAAGATGACATCATATGACGACATCTTCTGAAACTGGACCCGTCATCCTGAGCCATTGCTGCCGGCAAACACTGCCCTCGCAGTCTGCAAACCCTCCTGGATCACATGGATGCTTCAAACACAAACAAGTCAGCAATGCTTGTCACTGAACACGCACCCTCTCACACACACACACACGCACTTTGTGCAAAAAGAGGGTTCCTCTACGTTATCATCCGCGAGGACTGCCTGAAGATTTTCAGCACTCGGGCACTTTGCGAAAACCTTTTGCTCTCAGCCTCGATGTTGTTTCGGAGCAGTTCTCGAAGACTTGCAGGAGCATCAGTAGCATCGGGCAAAGGGACAGGAATGGCATCGCTGATTGGCCTTAGTGTGTGTCCATATTCAATTTTGAGGCGAAACATGTTGTATGATGTTCAATGTTCAAGCAATGCCGGTCTTTGCGAGTGCGATTGTAATCACACAAATCGTTCGGGCGGCTTATTGTTGAAAGACATCAACACGCAGGCCTTGGCAACATGTTGTCAAACATGTTCATACAAAAGTCGAACCAGATCAGAAGCGACGTATGCACCTGGCCTCATATGTCCCCGTCGAAGCCCGGAGTGAATGCAACAGTGCACCACAAGAGTGGCCGACCTGGAAGGACCCTAGAGCGTGAAGCAGTGGTAGATTGTCATTTTGGCCCTTCAGGACACACAGGTCCATTGAATCGGATGATGTGAGGTTTGACATGTTCAACTTCCATGAGCAGGACCGCGTTTCATCGGCACCATTTCCCAAAAAAGCAATGATTGTCTATCAGCATCCCACGTGCGAGCACGCTATAAATATTCTCTTTGAGGCCACTGCCGCAACCACAGGAAGGCATCCAAATTGACTGAGGACGGTTGGAGCTGGGCTGAAATGCAAACTGACTTAGGCACAACAAAGCAATATTGATGCTTTCCTGCAACGCCAATCGCCCTAGTTGCGATGGCTGGGCGCCGACCTTGAAACGGAAACAAACTTATTGGTCGCCGATGCCGCCATGAGGTCGTAGTCAAAAGACAGTTGGTAAGGTGTAGCCACCACAATGGCCTGACCGCAAGCCAGTCTGAAACAACATGGTTTCATGCACGGGTGGGTTCTGCCTCACACTGTTCAGCAAGTTCTTCCAAAAATCTTTGGTAGAATAACCTGCCCACCGAGAAACTGCAGCACGGCGGGCCACACAACCAGGCAACGCGTTTGATCTGCAGCCTGGGTGATGCACTCACAAAGGCGCCGCCGAGAAAATGAATACACCTGAAGCAACCAAACAACTCCCAACTTGCCACAACATTGGCTTCATGAGTTTTGCGGTGGCCCGCAGCTGGCCTGGCCCGCATGGCCAGGAACAGCTAAGACACGCGGGGGAAAACTGTTGTGATGAGTGCTTGCTGCGCGCGCTTCCGGTGTACGAATCTCAAAGCCCCGACAAAGCGAAGCGGCCGCATCTTTCATGGCAAAGGGCATGGCTCAGGTGGCCATCTCATTCGCGCAGTTCAGAAAAGGGATCGGTTCGATCCAAGATGCGATGCGTTTGGACCCGGTGACGCAAGGGCGTCGCATGGATCTGCGTCGCATCTTCACGACTTCTGTTGCAGCTTTCCATCTTGGTGAGGCCATCAGCATGCGTGACGCAAATTGGTTTAAGGTGGCATTGTGTGCTGGACGCTGCGCGCTGTGATCGCGCTGCGTTCCAGCAGCCGTGTCACCGTGTCAGTCGCCTGCTCCAAGACGATCTGGGCTACTCCCTTGTAGGCCGGAACATTGTAGAAGAGCTCGAAGAGGTGGGCATGTCTTGGCGTGGAGCCAACAGTCAGACTTGATGGCTGGTGTAGTTGGCGGCATTGAGCCCCATTGAAGGGCACTGCGGGCACCTGTCCGGAGCAAGCCCGACCAAGCTTAGAAAGTCCTTCGTTTCACTTTCACTCAGGGCAGGCTGCAGGCAGGAAGATTTTGGCCTTTGCCTTTTGCGGGGCACTCCCGCCTCCAAATGAGGCGGGAGAAGTGGCCGTCCTTGTCTATAGTGATCTTTTAAGGTAGGGTAGCTCTACCAAGTGCAATGCCACTCGAAGTGCAAGGCGCAAGAAGAAAGCATCAAAGCAGCGCGACCTTTTCGCGCCAAACGTAGTCCATGGCGTCATGTCCGAACGGCCCACCCTTAAAATGAGCGCCGAGGCGAACCTGAGCGCTGCTCTGAACATGTCGTGGTCACACATGTGGCGGCGCCACAATCACACCGGTGGAGGACATTGAAGCACCTCATCGTAGAGGTCTTGGCACAAGGTATGAGCGCAGCATGTGCATGGTTTCAAAGTCCAGACCGCATTGGCTGTCTTTGACTGGCGCTAGGGTATAAGGATGCATGAGGCGTGCCACTTCTCACCATGGTTGGTGTGGTAGATGTGATGGTAGATGGCATGTTGTAATCGGTTCTTTGCGCGAACCTCACCTCATCCATGTATCGGGCCCGAATGATCTCGAATTGCCGGTCATGGAGGTCTCTGTGGGCCTGGAGTTCAAGATCATGTTTGTTCCTTTCTTCTTTCAACTTCCTCTCCTTGGTGACCTTGTTCAGCTCGCGAGGAAGAGAGACGAGCGTGTCCAGGCTGCTGTAATTAGTCTGGCTTCCTTGGGTAGGTTGAGTTGATCTTTGAAGGTCTCTTCCTTTCCTATCTATCATGGTGGAAGTAGGGGAGACTGCTGGGGTCATGGCCAGGCGAACGCGGCATCTGAGTATGCCACAAAGCTCATCTCGCTGGGATGTCCCAGCTTGTGCAAGTGGAGTCTGACATCGGCATATTCTCACAGTGCGGCGATGGTAGTTTTGCTGACTTGTCCAGCAAGTGGGTCCATGTCTCCGCATCCTGACAGAGCCCTGTCAGTGGTGGATGTTTCACCTGGTTGCCGTTGTCATCTGGCTGCGAGATCCATTGGGGCTGTGGCGCCTCGTGCTCATACACCAGGAAAAGGCATAGGTCCAATGGGGGCAAGGCGGGTGGCGCGGTCTCTGGCTTCACTGTACCATGTTCTTATTGGAGCGTCAGAAAGTCCACACATGGGTTTCTTGAGGCACCTTTCGGGCGTCGCTGGGGAGTTTGACCACAGTGTTCTGTGGCTTTCATGTTCCTTGCCTTGTAAAAAGGCTGCGCTGACATCTGCACTGAAGTTGGTCCATCCTGAGTTGGCGCAGATGGACAGGATGTAGTTCCTTGCAATTCTGCTGAGCGTTGGTGTCGTCAGGGTTTTTTGCGCCCTTGTGTAATGAGCCTGGCTTTGGCTGTTGGCTCTCCATTTGGCCATTCGCCAACTTCAAAATGAAATGGGCTTGAGAATATTTCGAAAGAAACTCTCTACTTCTTTCTTCTTTGCCTCTATGAAAGCCAGGTGGTGAGCTAGCGCCATCCGTTTTTCATTCAGCTGATCCTTTCTGGCCTTAATGCCTGCTGGTGGCTTTGGCTGTGGCGTTTTCTCTTGGCTGCGTGAGCGTGTTTCTCGGTGTCTTCCACTTAGGACTGGTGTCCCTGGCTCAAGTTGTAGAAGGCCTCCGGTGCCAGCATTGTCATGCCGGGTTGAGGTGTGCTTGGTTGCTTTGTTCCTGGTTGCTTCCAGCGGTCGTTCTGGTTCAGGGGATCAGTGCCAGTGGTGCATTGGTGTATCGGTCCTTGCTCAAATAATGGAGCCGGTGTTTGTGTCGCTGGGATCGCCCAGCGTGTCTCGCGGCAGGTACTGCCTGCAGAAGAGTTTGTCGCTCTGCAAGATCCATTCATCTCGACGCTCTGGGTCTGAAGGCGCTGGTTTACTGTGTGGTGCAGTGCCCTGTGCTTGTCTTCTGGCTGGGCCGTGGAATGACAATGTTTCCTGCCTGTCAATGGCTCGCTGTTGTGAGAAAGATTATGTCGGGTTTTCAGGTGACGTGAACAACAGGCGTTGATGCCCTGGAATGGCTTCCACTGGTGGTGGTTTGCAAGAATGCTTGGAGGTGGCTCTGGTTCTCCAGTGCTCTCCTGACTGCTGATGGGTCTTTCACCACTTGCAGATATTGGGTCTGCCGATCGTTCGTGCTTCATCAGGGTGTGTGGTGCTTGGATCATGACCTAGATCATCATAGAAGCTGGTTGGAGGCATGGGTTCGTCATCATGAAGGCTGAAACCTTGCTGGAAACAATTCTTGGGTTGCAAGGGGTATCTTTGAAGATCTTGAAGCTTTGGTGCGAGATTCGGGGGGCTACGCCACCATTGGGGAGACAAACTTTTCACGGCGCTTTTTCGAGGACCGGCCGCCCTTTTCCTTGGCTCCCAGCATTGCAGTCAGGAGTGGTCATCATAGGTCCGCTTCCACTTCGTCGGCTGTCCTGACAGAGGCAGTGGTCCCTGTCCAGTGAAATGGCATCATACGGGCCGCTTCTGGTAGTGTCCAGTCATCTCGCAACACAGTTCTGTTGCTGGCAGGTTGATTTGGGTCTTCGGATGGTGGTCAGTGCTGCAGTGCACAGTCATCAATGGTTGGTACATAAAGTCCTTGTCGTGGTCGAACATGTACCCGGTGCCATGTGATTCCATCTTCTTCAACGTGTCTTGTTCTTCTGCTGTGCTAGTCTTTGTGGTGTTGGGACGCATCTCCATGTCATCTGGTTGCTGTGTGGCAGGTCAATGTATAGTGTGGTGCTTCTGCCCCTGATCTGGTCCAGTGCTGTAGCGCTGTTCCTGCCCGTTGGAGAGAATCGGTGTCACTCGCGACAGTGTGGTGCCATGTGTGATCCAGTTTATGTTGGCGGCTGGGCCCGCCAGGTCCTTGCCTCCACAAGTAGACTGTCTGGCGGCGTTTGGTGTACTGGACTGCTTGGTGCTTGCGCAGGCGCGCGCACCTTAGCCGGGTGTCGTTGCCCGCTTCAATCATAGCAATGGCGGCTTGCTTCTGCAATGTTCTGTTGGTGTTCCATTGCTTCGCTTGGAGTTGGCCGTGCTGGAGTGAGATCATGGTTCATCAACAGGCCGGGCAATCGTGATTGCATGCCCATAGCCCATTGTGTAGGGCTGAGTCCTTGAATGTTTGGTGTGTGATCTGCGGCGCGACATAGCATAGGTCTTTTTCGATCTGTTCAGTCGGGTTCATGGTGTTGTCTTAGTCTGTGGATCGACGGCGCTCTGTGCCGACTCCTCCTTTCACCTTGTCCCTAGCTGGTCCCACCCGTCGGCTGAGGATCTGTGGTGGCATCGTGCGACGATGCCGAGTCTGGTGTGTGCTTGACCGGGCCCAATTTCCAGTTGGACGCGGTTATCGCAGTGGTCATCCAGTTGGAAGATGGCTGGTGGTCCAAAGCGTGTTGTGGCCATCCACGTTCGAGTCCTGTTCTTCAGCTTGTTCACTTCGTTCGTCCGTGGTGGGACCTGGCTCTCCATGGGTCTGTTGTTGAAGCCCGGAACCCAAGAGTCTTTGCTTGCAACTCCTTGTGAAGCAGCCGACTTGCCATCGTGCTCGAGAGCCTTGCGGCAACGCTACCATTTCAATTTGAGGTAGGGTAGCTCTACCAAGTGCAATGCCACTCGAAGTGCAAAACACACGTCAAAGAAGTAGCGCAACCTTTCCGCGTCAAACGTAGTCCATGGCGTCATGTCCGAGTGGCCAACCCTTAAGCCTTGAACTGAGCGTGCCGATGATGGCACCATCCACGCTGAAAGGGAGAAACGGTCGAGGCAAACCTGAGAGCTGCTCTGAACATGTCGTGTTTATACATGTGGCGGCGCCACATTCACAGATCTCTTCGCCGCGGTGCTCACTTACACTTGAGCGTGTCACGCGGGCGATCGCAATCCGCATATGTATAGATCGTGTACATGAACGGCGGCCAAAAAGTTATCCACGTGGGGTAACCAGAGGGCAGTCATCAGAAGCGCTTGCCGAAGCTGTGGCAGGCAAGCGGTCCCACATCCAGGTGCATGAGCCGGATTCTCCCCAACTCAGATGAACACACGTCTTTCCATCTTGAACCCGGCAAAACTTATTTCGTGTCAGGGCTGAAGGCAAGGAGACGAAGAGACCAACTGTTTAATTGTTGCGCTCGCGAGCAGCCCTTCCATCACCAAAATGCGACGAACTGCTTCGAGGCGATCTGCATCACAGTGCGGTCACTGCTTCGGCTCTCAAGCGCCCCGGCTTCACCTGTCTTGATCATGGGCAGCGTCAAGGCTGATTCATCGGAGAGCAGATCGCCCAAGGGTCGAGGCACTGTTCCGAAGACAGCCTGAAAGTAAAGCGCAACGTCTTGAGCGTTCCACCAATGATCTCATCAAAGCGCTTCTCCTTGCCATACTGCCATACTCACATACTCAATGCCATATATGTATATATATATATAATATATCTAGTGGTGGCGGCCAGGCCGCCAAAGAAAGAAGGCTGTGTTGGGAATTGATCTTTTCGTGGCGCAGCAAGCTGGGCGGCTGATACTGATATCAGGCACGCAATGCGTTCTTGGAACTTGCAGCTCCATCGGACGGTCGTCGTCCATTTGTTTGCCCGAAAACCCTTGCCAACACTTGCACGTTGACAAACGGCTAGACAACTTTGTGAAAAGGCCCGTGGTGCCGGGTCAGAAAGGTGGGCAGCCTTTGGATTCTGCATAGTAGGGCTGTGCTGGTTTAGCGGTGTTGCTTGGGTTATGAGGTTCCCCGAGGCATCCTCGCGGTAAAAACCGTAAAAATCGTAGATTTTTTTACCGTTTTTACCGGGAGAACCGCACCTTTTCTTCTACCATATCCGCGGTAAAAATATTTTTTTTTTTACCGTTTTTACCGGGGGGGCGCCCATTTTTCAATACCATATCCGCGAAAAAAACGGTAAACGTCAAAGTTAGGTTATTTTCCGTTTTTCCAGGTGGACTCGCTATTTTCTTCTCTACTATCTCCGCGGTAAAGACGGTAAGAAACGATTTCGTATTTTTACCTGTCCTTAACGGAGGGTCGCCCCTTCTTCTTCTACCATATCCGTGGTAAAAACGATAAACATCGAAAGTTTTCGATCCAAGTGATGTAGGCTTTCATTACCCTGCAAAAGTTAAAAATCAAATATTTTTGATCAAACATCAAACTCCTTTTGTCGAAAAGGGCGCGCGCTCCTATATGATAGGAGAAGTCAACCCCACCAGATTATAGGAAGATACCCAAGGGCTGTAACATTAAACCTTTTTGTTTGCAAAGCTCTTCTAGCTTGCAACCTGTTCCCGAGGCATCCTCGCAGTAAAAACGGTAAATTGATGCATTTTTTGTGCGGGCGATGCTCGGTGGAAAGCCTCTTCCAAGAAAACGGGCTTGACTGCAATGGATATCCAGGGACGGGGTTCCTCCAGTGTGGGCGGCGTTTTCTCCTGTCAAGTTCAGGCAGCCAAGCTTCCAAGCTGCAGGTAAAACATTGTAAAACAACGGTGCAATAAACCCGATCTTTCCACCCAGCGGCCGTTGGCAAGTTGTCGCTCCTAGTATGACACGAGTGTCAGGCCAACCCGGGCGTGGGCGTGGAGCCACCTGAGCTGCCAGACACACCTTGACTCCGCTGCCGCGCGCTTGCGCCTTCGGACGGGTCGGGGGCCTCGTCATCACCAAACACTTGAGTCGCTGGGGCTTCAACAGCTGCATGCAACTGCCAAACTTGTAGTGATCGAAGTCGCCCGCACATACGGGTCGAGCAGGCCACCAGCCTCTGAGCCCATCGCGGTGCATCTATAACGAAAGAGAAGCGGCCGCCCAGGCGGGCACAGTTTAGAAAAGGGGTCAGTTCGCTCGAAACCAAGTGGCATCAAGAATTGAAAGGCTCAAACTGCTCAAACACTGGAAGTTTCACATTGGCTTTTGTTCATGCCCGAGGGCATCACATGGATCCGCGTCAGGTCTTGCCAGGTCTCCAGTACGTCCTTGTTGCAGCTTTCCATTCTAGCCGATGGATGGCTTGAGGTGGCATTGTCTCTTGGACAGTGCGCGCTGTGATCATGGTGCATTTTTCCAACGGAACCCGGTGCTCGGCTAGTGTTCGGAACTAGGTAATGCAAAGAACTGAAAGGGTTCCACGTAGTATACATTGACAATTAACGTCCGCTTTATCTACCCAGCCTTTTTGGCACAAACATCGGCACGAAAATCTCACAGTTGTCGGAATCTCTCCAACCTGGCGACGCCTCACCTGGCCATGCGCTAGTGTGAAAGTAAGTATTGGCACGTTGAAAGTTGAAAACAAAAGAGCACAAAGGATTGTAAAGGCATGAACCTTTAAAGATCATGAACCATGTGGCCTTGACATTCTGCACCGCAATTTCTGCAACCGAGCGCTCTCTTACGGACATGTTTTTTGCGCGCCACTGTCCTGCACGCAGCAGATTGTCAAACCTATGTGTTGGGTATTGCTGACCATGTGTCGACATCGATCAACCAAAACACGGCGCCCTGACACGCCAAAAGGCACGATGGAAGGGATGTAGTTGGTCAACGTCAACCTCTTCTTTTGACACTTCTGCCTGCAAGAATTTGTTTTGCACAATGGCGCGGCATTTGGCAAACCACAGTGCAATCACGTACTCAAACAGTTTCAATGTCTGCCTACCTGTCGAACTTGGTGCCGCAAAATGCGTTCCCGTACTTTTGGACCAGATCCGATTAGACTTAACTATATAGGTAGCCCTTACTTAACTGAGTAGCCCTACGCCTTCCCCCCCCAAAAAAATTAATACATTCCTGCAGCCCGAAGCAACTGTTTCTTTGGTCGTATAGTTGTTTCAAAAAAACGGTTGCTTTATCTTGCAGTCGCTTTATGTGCCCTCCCACCGAATATTTTATTACTTTGAGGTGGTTGGAGATATCCGCATCAAATTATTTCTGGACTGTCAGAGTCTGCCAAATAATTTCAAGAATGTAATAAAAATTTCCAACATAGATCCGACACGAGACCATCTAGGTGGGACCCACCCCCCCTAAAGTTGACCAAAGTTGACTCAACTCGGATTACCACGGACAGTGTCATACTGGGCAGTTGAGTAGTCAACCACCCTTCAAATAATTTATTATTGGGGCTGCTGCTGCTTGCTATAGTCCCACCGTCCCGGCTCTACGTGGCTAACACGAACCCCTAAGCCGGTTCTTCCTGGCTATTTTTAAGCAAATCTTCAAAAACTTAGCGATTGCATATTGTTTCCAATCTCTTTTCTTCTTCCACTGTTTCCTTGTTGTTTGTTCTATCCTTTTCCACCTTTTTCTCCCGTTGGCGCCATTTAATGGGTGGTTGCGTAGTCACCAACCCCCTCAAATAATTTCATTATAGAGGTTGTATGAGGTTGTACCCTGTCCTTTTCCACCTAGTTTTTTGTGATTGAAGCCCGTTTAATGGGTGGTTGTGTAGTCACCCACCCTCTCAAATAATTCAGTTATATTGGATTTGGTGGCCATGCTCCTTTTCTTCCACCTTTCTCCGTGTTTCCAACAATCTGTACTTTTTTTTTTTGGGTCAACATTATATATTTTCCTTTTCCTCAATTTCCTCCTATTGAGATGGCAGGTGTCCTCGACTCGCAAGCATTCTCAGCCTGTGGAGTTTGATTCGATACCTTCCAAAGCATTGGACCAAGTGTTCCTCGCAATTTTTATGACATAGTTTTTTCTCTCTAGCTTTGATCTAGCAGTAAACCCACAAAGCATTGTGCCCAGAGGCTGTAACTCTGAGGTGCTTGTTTACAAGCTGCTGCTCTGCCAGCCAGACAGGTGGGACCTCATATACTCAAAATTATTTCTAAATAATCTTGTACAGGTGGGTAGGTCATAGAATCGAAATTATTTAGAAAATATCTATCATATGAAAGTTATTTTGCACCACCTAGACTGTTCTAGTAAAATTTAAACAGCGCGGGCAACCCGGCCTGCTATTTCGCGACCAGCCAGCCGGCCGGCTGGCCAAATAGCAGCCGGCCGGCCGCTATGGCGCCGGCCAAGTAGTAGTAGCAATAGGAGGAGGAGTAGTAGTAGTCGTCGGGGTAGTAGTAGTAGACTAGTAGTAGTCGCAGTCGTAGTCGTAGTGGTATCGTTGTAGTGGTAGTAGTAGCAGCAGCAGGAGTAGTAGTAGTAGCAGCAGCAGGAGTAGTAGTAGTAGTAGCAGTAGCAGCAGGTAGCAGGTAGCAGGTAGTAGGTAGTAGTAGTAGTAGTCGTCGTCGTCATCGTCGTCGTCTTCGTCGTCGTAGTAGTGGTGGTGGTGGTAGTGGTGGTAGTAGTAGTAGTAGTAGTGGTAGTAGTAGTAGTAGTTTCTTCCGCGGCCGGCCGGTCCAGGGCCAGCCGGCCGGCCGGCGTAGTAGTAGTAGTAGTAGTAGTAGTAGTAGTAGTAGTGGTAGTAGTGGTAGTAGTAATAGTAGTAGTAGTGGTGGTGGTCGTAGTAGTAGTAGTAGTTGTTGTTGTTGTAGTAGTAGGAGTAGTAGTGGTAGTGGTAGTAGTGGTGGTAGTAGTAGTAGTTGTAGTAGTAGTCATAGTAGCGATTTCTTCCGCGGCCGGCCGGCCGGCTGGCACCTTGATCGGCCGGCCATGTACTAGTAGTAGTAGTAGTAGTAGTCGTAGTAGTAGTAGTATTTGCCGACGGTCGTTGATCCGCCGGTCGGCTGGACCGTAGATCTTGGCCGGCCGGCCGGCTGATCGAGAAATAGCGGGCCGCGATAAGCTCGCAATGCAATTCATTTTGGAACCACCACCTACATGGCTTGCCAAATATTACTTTAAGTTAATTATTTGAAAACATATTTCGTTAGATAAGTGACTCCCACCGGCCCACCTCCAAATAATTTCTTAAGGTAGGGGCCATGTCGTTTTATACGGAAAACTACGCTCGTAAACGTGTTTTACATTTTTTACGTTTATATTAATACGGTTTGCATACGGTCGTGGTTCGAAAAATGAAGGCCGTTCCCCAAAATATACGGTCGTACAATCAACTGCTTGATATGCGTTCTGCATGATTTAATTCTTGAACATCGCCATAACTGACAAGAATACAGGTGTTTAAGCAAAACAAATTGTCGGTTTAAACATATACGGTCGCTTGAAGAAACAAAACATCAGCCGTTTCAGGTTGCAGGTTTATCAATTGTTTGAGCCGCCCACTCCGAAACAAAATTGCATTTGACACTGGTGAATGAAAATAAACGTTTCATCAATTTTCAGTTTGACATTTTCTGCCACCAGAAGATTTGAACGTTGCAACGTGCAAACTGTTTTTTTCCAGCGCAACTTTTTCCGCGTGAGGTCCATGTCGAGCTCGCTGCTGATTGTGTGTATACTGGCCAGGCTCCAGATGTGCATAGGGGGGAGCAAAAATCCAAACCCCTTTGGGGAATTAGATGGTTAGCGTGGGGGGAGCCGGCTGGCTGTGGGGGTGGGGCGGGGTGCTTCGGCAAGAAGTTGGCTGAATGTGGGCTCATTACCTTCGGTGTTCGTATGATTGGCGAGGCTTTGTGAAGTTTCGATCAAGGATGCCGCAAAGGCTTGCTGGGGCTTGGAGGAGTGATAGAGTGAGGAAAAGTGCCGGGGCTACCAATGCTGTTGCGATAGAGGGTTGGAGGAGTGCTGGGGTTTGCTTTGTGCTGCGCCAGTAGTTTGATGAAGGGGGCTGTCCGTCACGACGTTTGAGGGACAAACAAAACATTGTTTGACTCGGGAACCTGAAAACATATAAAAACAGGGAATCCGTGATGCCAGCATATGGCATAAGGATAGGAGGGGCGCCTATTTTTTGTCTGGCGACAACATGTGCCAGTGCTTGTGTCATGTGGCGGCGCCCCCTTTTTTTCCCAACGTATCCGGGCTCGCTTTGTCAGGGTCGTTGCTAGCAGGTGATGTGGTGGTTGGGCTGCGCAATGCCTTCACCCCTCCACTCACATGACCCCCAACCCAACTACTGGATTTTGAAAAGGCAGTTGAGCCTTCGCATAGAGCACGTTTTATGCTGCCCGTGCCCAAACCACTCCGAACCGAGCATGACAACGGCGGAACATGGGGGAAGGGTGTGCGCGTTGAAACGCCAGCACAAAATTCCAAACCTGACCAAAATCATCAAAAGTCCACACCCTGCAAACCGGGCCAGCCTTGCCTCTGAACAATGACATGGGGACACGTATGCGATGCACGGGCTTGTGATTGCCATGGGCCTACTTCCATGAGCCGCCGGCTAGGAATCTCAGCCGTTTGGCCAAGCGATGGTCCATTTCATAGTTGGCAAAAAACATTTTGTGGCTCTGTTGCAAAGTATGATAATTTGTTTGTGAATCATGCAGCAACAAAACAATAGAAACGCACATGCTAACCCTTGCCTGAACCAAACGCACTGAAGTGCAACTGTGCGCGGGGTGCTTTCCATTTATGGCAACTAATTATGCGCAATGCTTTTCATTCAATGGTTTAGCTAAAAACCACCACAGCAAACCCAACGATCGTCAGATGCAGTTGTAGATGAAACTGCTGCCACGACCTACCCCTGCGATGATGGCGGTGACCGAAAACCTGAAACACACACGCACATTGATTCATCACATGTCCAGGTGCACGCATTGCGCCAAGCACACCGGAACAAAACATACAATAGCGGCTCTTCCCACATCAGAATTTTCCAAAAATGCACCAATTCGCCGCGATGTGGGTAAAACTCATTGTGGAACAGCTGCGCCACGCTGTGCCCACGGAAGCTGTACGTTGCGGACTTGCCTCGCCACTCTTTCGAAGCGAACAGCTTCCCTTTGTGTTTGTTCAACAAGATCATTAGAGATCATCTATTTCACGCTTCGCTCCTCCACGCGGAAGTGCTGTTGGAATAGTGACGGTGTCAAGCGATGACCCCTCCGCGTATCAGGGTTCTTAGTTGCGGCCTTGCTACGTACAATCTCCTCGGATTCTTCACGGTGACTGCCCGCCTGCTTGCCTGCCTTGTTCGGGGGTCTAAGAGCCGGCATGCTCCAACACAGCTTTGCCTACATCATCGGCTTCGCCAGTTCTCAACTCCCGCTCTCTCTTGGATCGCTCGCGGAAGCGACTCTGGGAAACTTGTGCGTCGACCATGGGGATATCGTGAACATCTGCTCTCCCAGGATTTGTGCATCTTCGCAGTGAAAGCCACATTCATGAAAACGGTTTCCCAATGTAGTGTTTGCCTTCAACCAAATCAAAGACTGTAGACTTGATAGCTGGGTGTGCATGGTACCTATTCTTAAAAATGTCGTTATGTACCAGCGCGCGTGCGCGCAGTCAAAGGAAAAACATTCATCCAACTGCTCATTGAAAACGTCACATAAAATTCAGTCACCACAGTTAGGACCGAACCTTCGAACAAAATGCGTCCAATCAGAGGGGAGTTTCAGATGACCGAACTTCAGCATCTGTGTGCTGCAAATTTCAATCCTCCCGAGGCTGGCTTTTCAAGCGAATTGCGCTCCACGACGCCAAAGCTGAGTTGTTCCATGCTGTTCCAGAACGCGACGATTTTTGGGCCTCTCGTTTGCACACTTGGCTGAGGTGCCAACAACTGTCTCTGCAGACTTGGCTTCGGACGGTCAACACAATTTCTCGTGGGATCTGTTCAAACCGGCGCCCGCACAAATTTCGCTTTTCGTCGGAAGCTCGGAAAGTGGTGTTGCCAGGCGCGTGGCAGGCTCCTGTGGCTCTTGAGGGGGAATGTGCTCAGCAACTGTGCGGAAGAGTGATTCTCATTGATTTTCCTCATACAAACCATGGGCTGCTGACAAACAAAAGGGGTGCCTAGTGTACCAGCACAACAACGCTGCAACAAAGTCAACTAACAAGAGCCAGTAAACCTGCTCGGCAATCTGTTTTGGAACTTGCTGCTTCAAGAACACAGTGTGATCTGCCTGCAACATCTCACCGTGACAAATGTCAGCGTGACCCGTGTCCGCATGACCCATGATTGCCACCCAGCATTGCAACATGCCGATGTGACAGCACGCCCACGAATCATTGCAAGAATATGTGGCCGCATGGGGTCGTGTCGACGCGCCCGCCTGAAAGATAGATGTAGCGCTGCAACATGACAATACATTCATTACACGGCGTCAGCATATCCGCGTGCCAACGTATTAGTATATATCACCATGATAGCATGCCAGGCTGTCAGCACGAAGTGTACGGCGTTTGGCCAGCTTGACAAAAACATCATGTTTGAACCATGGCAAGTTAGAAAAAAACAATTCTGCCCCGGAACATGCTGGGAATCTGCTTGGGGACTTGTTGGGGAACGTGCCGCGGAACCTGCCCCATGCGGAGTTGGTTCCGGAATTTATCGGGAACCTTCTATATAAATCTTCTGAACAACTTGGTCCGGAAACGTCCTGCAGAATCTTTGCAGGCACTTGCTCCGGAACTTGGTTTGAAACCTGCTCTGTGGAGCCCAAGCCTCTCTGGGGCTTGTTTGGGGAACTTGCCGGAACCTGGCCCGGGAACCAGCTGTGAGATCAGGTCCGGTCTGCTCTGGTTTTTACTATGGCTGAAGACCCCTAAGCCTGCCTTTGGGGAAAAAAA